TTTGCTTGGATCATAAGATATATGTGGGCAAAAATAATATTATAATCCATCTGAGCATGTTGATTCATAGACTTTGGAAAGATACATGTGCATGGTCTTGTCAATTTTCGCACTTCCCATAATTGCAATTTTTGGCTGAAAGTGACACGTATACTCCAATTATAGTCAATGTCAAACTTCACACACTTGCAATAAAATTTTATGTAGTCAGATTCATAAACTTTATATTGAACACCTCTTCGGATGCTGTAATTTTTAACAGCAAACATCACTTTATTTTTGCTGCAAAATACATGACTAAGTGACAAATCATTATCTTGCCCTATGCTCGAACTTGAACTAGACTCACTCACATTACAATGCATTGCAGCTAAATCAATTGTCGAGTAGTGACTAGGATGCTGTCGAGCTTAAGATTGGGATTGGAATTGAGATCGCGATATCAAATGTTCATCCAAATTTTACACATCACACAACTGTTCATCTTCATCATCATCAATGTCCTCTTCTTCATCATTTTCAGTATTCTGTTGTGCCACAACAAAATCAAAATCTCTGACCAAGCTACCTTGTCTCATTTTCTGTGGATTAAGAGATAATAGATTTCCAATGTGTCTAACAAAGTGCTCAAAACTTGGAGAACCTACATCATCATGTGAATTGTGCATGTCATGGTGAGACATCTCAACTAATGAGCCTGCATTTGATACAGAAGGTGATGGATCTGGGACTGAGCCTCCAAAGCTAAAATGATCACCTTGTAATTCGACAAAAAGCTCTATTGTACTAGCTTCAGCAAATGAGTTAAAATAACTAAACATGTGATCAATGTACTCATCTTTTTGTATTCGTCACATTTTATATCGAATACTATTTGGGCCAATATCAACTGGCATCCTGTAGAAAACCTTTGAGACTTGTATATTGTTTCCCTCCATACTCCTGTATTTGGCTCTCTAACTGTAGCAAAGTAATTGGGGGACGAACAACTAACCAAGCCTGATAGTCACTACGAAATGTCTCTCCTTCCACTGTGTTTATAATTTCACTATTATAATATATAAGCACATGAACATCATTCTCTCCCATTTTACTGAAAATGCACTCAATCGATTGATTTTTTGAATAATTTGATGCAAACTCTAGAAGCTGTATGTTTATTTATAAGCGAAGATGAATGGGATGATTATTGAAATTGACTAAAATTGACTTTAAAACTGAAATATACTTGAATTGATTTCTGCGTTGAACTAAAATCTATTAAAATCGACTTCTATGTTAAAGTGAAATCTATTAAAATCAACTTCTTTGTTAAAAGAGAAATTTATTAAAATCGACTTCTATATTAAAGAAAAATTGATTAAAATTGATTAAAATTGATTAAAATTGACTTTTGCACATATTAAAAGTCAATTTAAATCGACTTCTAAACTAAACTTGGCCCAAATCCACACAAGTCGATTAAAGTCGACTTCTTAGTAAGTCTTAAATTATTGAAAGTCAGTTAAAATCGATTTATTATTCAGAAACATTCCAAATTTTAACCAAAATCTATTTTAATCGACTTTAACTATGACATTTTTAGGACAAAATTATAAACTTTTTTAAAAAAAGATATTTATGTAATAAATTTTTTAAAATTATTTTATTTATGTAAAAAATCCTAAATAAGATTGTATATAGTAAAAGATATCTTTAGTTTGAAAAAAAGTATATTAAAAAATATGAGTGATGGTCTTTTTGGTAACACTTGGCAAGCAAACCAAGCTTCGATGTAGTAATTTGATATCGTCCTCAGGGATTTGGTGATAATAGTGATTTCCTTTCTTGTTGTATATAAAAATATAAAGACTGTAATGAAATATTGATTTGTTTTAAAATATATAAAAGCAATAAATTAAAATTTAGCAAAAAACTTTATGCGAGAAGAGATTGAATTCAAATATACTTTCTAACTCTTTTATCTTCATTGAATAAATGATTCCAATTCTATTACTTCCACGTTCATTACATAACTTAACCAGATCCTTCAAAATTAAGTTCTAAGGTAATTAATCCTACAACATGATTCCTCTATGTTTTAAGATTAATACCTTATATTAAGAACAAAACTTGAACATATGTGGCTAATAGCCCCAAGTCTATTCCTAGTACAAGTGATTATTAGGTGTGTGATTCAGTTCGGGTTTTCAAAAGCGTTTCCCAACAGAATTCAAAAGTCAAAGATCATAAACCAGCTAATCAAGTCGAATTAAGCATTAAGAATAGAATCACACTCAAGTAAATAAACTGAAAATCATATAAACTCGCGAAGTAATTAAATTAGGAGTTATATTGAATCCAATCCAAAAGAAATTAGCCAAGGCCATATCAAGATGCAGACTGAAATTACAATAAGAAAAAGTGAAGATGTGATTCTCGTTCTGAAGCGATCCTCCTTACGTCTTCCGTTGCTCCGTTCTTCCTTTTTTCCTTCCTCCAAAAAGCCATTTTTCTCTTATCTATTATGCTTTTCTCCCCCTTTTCACTTCCTAGACGTTTTTCTTTTATGGGTCTTCAAAACAAAGAGAATTCAAACAGATTTTAACTCCATGGCTATAGCTATGGATTCACCGCTGTAGCTTTAACTTACACTAATTCTCTCACGGTTGTAGCTGCAGATTCAAGCTTTAACTGTAACTCTCTGGAATCCTATTTTTGTTGCACACTTTCATGGCTATAGTTGTGGCTTTGGGACTGTAGCCCTAAATTTCAGACTTCACCAAATTCTGAACAAAAGAGAGATATTTTAAAAGAAAATACTACTACTCTTGTAACTTCTTCAATTAGATTAATTCATCCAATTGAGAGTTAAATATACTCAGAATTATTTACATTTCATCCAAAAAATATGCCAAATTAATGATAGAATATGAATTTCTAGCACTTAACAATGATTAATATATTTTTAATAAAATATTTTTTTATTTTTTTACTAATGTGTTAATATATATTTAATAATATCATGAGACCCATGAATTAATTATAAAAGTTATTTCAGTTTAATATTATTTTTGAGTTAGAGTCTTAATACAGTTATGTTAAATATTTAGGAAAAAGATTTTTGTTAAATCTATCAAAATCAAATTAGTATTTAATTAATTTCCTAATCAGTTAATGTTAAGCAAACCAATGAGTCAAAATTGGAGGAATAAGTTCCTCAGCTAAGACAATTAGACAAATAGTATATGTGCACGATCTATTCTGTCCTTATCTCTTTTCTGTTAGCACGTTAAATGGTTATCACGATTACTCTTTGTCTGTACTTTTTAATCTTATTTTATTTTGACTTGAAGAGCATAGTGAATTTTTCGAATATCACCCCATGCCTAATAAATAGAAACCAGCATGGGTACTTTTTTTTTTAAAATTATATCCATGAAATTTTAAAAATTTAAAATTTAAAAATAAATTTATAGAAAATTTGAAATATAAATATAATTAAATTGGAAATTATTATATTATTACTTAATTATAAATTATTATATAATTAAAATATTATTCTTATAATAATTAATTATTTTAAAATCTATATTTTGAATAAAATTAGTAGGTAATATAAAAAATTTTATATTAATAATGTATCAAATCAATTAAACCTTAATAGAATATCTTTTATTTTAGATTTCATATTCAAATCCATAATATAAAGCTGAAAATGGGGTACAAGTTAGAAAGACAATCTAGTAGTAGAAAGGAAAAAAGAAGATAGCTGAATGCTAAATTCACATAATTGATTTTATATGTTACCGTTTAGGATAAAAAAAAAGTTAGTTAATTAATAATTAGTCGTTTTCATTATTGTAAAAGACATAAAATTAAATATAAAAAAAATATCAAAGTAACATTTTTTATATTAAAAATAAAAAGATAAAAAAATAGATAGTTCCAGACCTTTTAATTTTTATATTTTAAAATTATATGATTAATTAAATAAGTATTAAATATTAATGAATGGGTTAAAAATACTAATTAAATTTTAAAAATATTTGAAACATTATCAATAGACTCTATTTATAATTCTGTAATTTAGTTTTAAAAATACTATTAGTAAGATCATTTTATATTTTTAAAATAATAAATACATAATATTTATTTTTGAAATTACGTGGGAGAATATATCGAAATAAAAAAATAAAAATAGACATTTTTAAGTGAAAGTGTAGACGAAATCAAACACATTCGGTACCGATTCTATCCATTTCTTGGATAAGAATTCTGTGGAGGTCTTAAATAAGTGCAACATGTCTAAGCTTTTTCTTTCTTCTTTTTTGGTAAATAAAAAAGGATATTATTTTAAATATGCCTAAGTTGGCAATCCCATGGTTAATAGTTTTCTTTAACATTTTAATATAAAAGTATATTATTTTAACGGATTCATCTTTTCTCATATCTTTTAATTTCGTCTGGAACGCTCCACCGTCCTCCACGATCTCCACCACGTGTCGCGCTCCCACAATCCTTTCTACTCTCTCTCGAAGACACGACACGCTTGCCCACGTGTCAGGCACCTAATAATAACATTATTATTTTATTTTTCCCTCTTATCTTTCTATAAACCTTTTAATTCGTAAAAAAATTATACAATTTTTTTTAAAGTTAACATTTCCCTCTTTTAACCTCGGGTTAATAAATCAATAATAGTGATCAGGGTTTTTCTTGCCATCGTCTTCTTTTTGTTTATCGAAGAGATTGTTTAATGTATTAAGCGTCTTAATATATTACCAAATATAACAAATAGGAAAGCTTTTAATTGTAATTTTCTTATTTTCTGTCCTTAAATAGAATTTTTGGATTAGTTATCTTAGACTTTGTGGTTACCCGTGTTTTTTGTTTTTTCGTTAAACCCGTTGAATAGAGAAAAAATATATATATAGCACGAAAATTGCTTAAATAATTATATTATTAAACCTGAATTTTTACTCCACCGGCTATAAATAACGAAAGAAAGCCTCCACCAAAATCAAAAATCAGAAACCATCATCAAAAGAGAGGAACAAAAAGAAATATCATAATAAAGATTGAATAAGAATGGCTAGCGATGGCAGTGAGGAGTTCAGGCTAGTGTCGCCATCAATTAACAACGAGGGAAGGTTACCGAGGCACTACACGGACGAGGGGCAAGGAGCGAAAAAGAACATATCCCCACCGTTAGAATGGTACAACTTACCGCAGGAGACCAAGACCCTGGCTTTAGTGGTGGAGGACATTGATGCACCAGATCCAGATGGGCCCATCGTGCCGTGGACCCATTGGGTGGTGGTTAACATCCCGCCGGCGGTGAAGGGGTTGCCGGAGGGATTTTCCTGCAAGGAGGAACAGATGGGTGGGGAATATGCTGGGATCAAGGAAGGGAACAATGACTGGAAGGTGCCTGGTTGGCGTGGTCCTAGGTTGCCTACTCATGGACATAGGCTTCTGTTTAGGCTTTTTGCTTTGGATGATGAGGTTCATCTTGGTAACAAGGTATTGTGTTTTCTTATGTTGTTAGGATGGAGAACATAGCTTGTTCAAAATTAATGTTTGTTCTTTTCTTTGTTGATGTTGAAAGCATGCATGTTAGGATATATTCTAGTGTGTATAGTTTGTGATATTTTCGGGTGTGAATCCACTTCCAATAAGTGTAAGAAAGATGCATGAAATTTTTTTATATTTTATGGGTTCCCTAGAAATCGTAAGTTATCTATAAATACACGATTTTTTTTATAAATGTATTTTTCTAGAGTATCTTTCTAGAGTGCTGACAAGACTTTTTATATACTGTATATTATACAAAATATACGTGTCTTTAATTCTTGAAGGCTGACATGGCTTCAAAAAATAATTCTCTTAATTTTAACTCTGAAGATTAAAGTATAATTGTAATAAATATTTTTTTTTCATAAAAGTTTATTATTTTCAAATGGACTTAAACTCTGTCTTAGGTGAAGTTATTAATATCGTTAAGAAAATATAAAATATTTTTTACAATTTTTATTTAAATATGTATGTATAATAAAATATAATACAAGATTAAATTATATTGAACATTATATAAATGAAATAAATAACTTTTTAAAAATGGTTACTTAACAAAAATAAATTTTAAGAAAGGAAAATATTTATGTAATTAATATAATATGAAATCCATCTTGTCTATACAATATGGTATGAAACTCTCTAACAAGATCATTGGGAGATAAATATCATATTAGAATTCAGCGATTGAGAACTTTTTACGTGATTAGAAGGGCAGCTTCCGATTGTAAAATGTCCCTTAAGATGTTTCGATACCAAAATGTCTGCTGTTACCCTTACATGCATGTAATTAAACATTTTTAGAAGTTAATTACTCGAAGGTTGATGGTATTTTATTTGGTGAATTGACTGCAGGTGACGAAGGAGAAGTTGTTGGACTCAATTGCAGGGCATGTGCTTGGAGAAGCGACGCTGATGGCTAAATTTTGATATGATGTATGAAAGCAGAGATTGTACGGGTGCACTCGCTTTGTCTTGTGTACCTATGTGAAATGTGAGATCAATGGGATAAACATTGTATCAAATCTCACCACCCTTTTGAGCCTCGTCTCTTCGTAGATTAGAAGAAAACATCTTGCTTGAAATTTAAAATATTATGAGTAATCATGACTTACCAATTACGTGCTAATAATGTTAATGCTACCATGCATTTTGGACGGTATATATGTTGTTAGAGTTGTCGATCTTTATTGAGATTGTTGTAATGTAAATGTAGATCTAATGCAAAAGTCATACTTGAAAGATAAGCAAATGTGTGTAGTTAGAAGATTAAAAGCATGTTCATTTTCTTTTTGAAAACAGTTTTATAATTTTAAAAATAAAAAATATTTTTTAAATAGAAAAATAAACATGCTCTAGATGTCCTTCACAACTCGGTTTTGTAGATTTAATGATTCATTTTCTGACAGGTGTCTTTTTTATTAATTCTTAATTTATTTTGTGGGGATCTTAATTTTGTTTTACCTTTAATATTGTCACGCCTTAAGGTTCTACAATCCTACACCTCTGTAGAATTCCTTTCCTGTAATCCTCGCTGGGGCGCACATAATCACTGGTTTAAAGTAAAAACAAAAGGAAAGGTGAAGTAGCTGATTAAAAAAGTGCTGTCCAAATTAACAAAAGTGTTAGATATGGATTATTAGTTTAATTTATTATGGATCATTGTTACCAAAATCTATAAAATAAGAAAAATTAATAATTTTACTTAAATAGTATTAATTTAGTTATTAAAAAAAATTAGCAAGATAAGTGATGAGAACGTTCAAGCTTGGGTCCAAAGAAAGGTTTAAGATTCATTTGAAGGCATGGTATATGAAGTTGAATATATATATAGGTCTTGTACATTAAGTGTGATGCTATTAATCATTAAGATATTTTATTTTACTTGTATTAAAAGTTTTTTATTTAATTTTAAATTAATTAAACAAACTCTTAATTTGTATTGTACTCAAATTCAGATTTTACAATTACAGAATTGTGAACACAATTCTCTTAATTTGTATTGTACTCAAATTCAGATTTTACAATTACAAAATTGTGAACACAATTCTTTTATTAAAGCTAAAGTTTTAAGGTGTTATCAAGAATCTATTATGATCATTTTAGATCTGTGATATTTACTTTTTTTTTTTAATTTTCTATTTTATATGAGTGAAATATATAAATTTAACATAAGGTGTAAAAATATGTTTATTTTTATTTTTATTTTAAATTTTTGTGTAAAAATATGTTAATTTTTATTTTAATTTTAAATTTTTATTCTAAATTAGAGTAGATCATATTTTACCTTATATGACATTTCTTTTATAATTTTTGAGTTAAAATTATATTTCAATGTGAGTTTTTTTCTAATTTTAAAAATACTGTAATAGCATGAGATATAGTCTGTTTTTATCATTCTTTTCTTATTCTTGTTTGTTTTCTTTGTCCAAGTTCATTCTATTCTCTCAATTTCTAAGGTTTAAGGTATATATTAGAAATCCTAATTTCTTCTTTTAATTTGAGTGTTCATAGTTTTAATTAAGTTATTTTCTCTAAGAGAGTTTGAGAAATCTCATCATTTGATATTAAAGCTAGTTTAATTAAAGCAAGTTTTGATTTAAATTTGAAAGTGCTTGTGGCTAGTTGTATGTGTGTGCTTGTGTTTAGTTTTGTGCAGCAATTGAAACAAAGAGAGAAAAAGCTGCATTTGTGGAATAACGAAAGAAAGTGTGATGGTGGTTAGGGTAAACAAAAACCCTAATTTTAAATGTGCAAGAGGTTGAATTGGAGGTACATAATTTGGCTCGTGAGTTGGTTTCATTGGTACTTTACTTGAAAATCAAGTAGGTGTTCTATTTACTATAAGTTGTTATTGTATTTTAGAAATTTGTGAGTGCAATTAAAAATTCTATTTATGCACTAAAGTAGTTGAAATTGTGTGTTAGATTTAGGTACTTACAAAGGTGGAAATTAAAGTTTTTAGCTATTTTGCTGATACAAAATTTAAAAAAATGAAATTTTATTTAAAAAAAATAAAATTAAAGAGTGTTTATGTTGGTTGTTTGAGACTTAAATTCAAGTGTAAAGATAGTACTTGATTATTTGAGTGTGTGAATACAAATTTTTATCTTTTAGAGGAGATTACCTTTAATCAAAAAATATAAAAATAAAATAATAAAATAGTTTTACAGAAAAACTTTGAAAAAAAAGATTGGTTCCTAGAAGTAGAAGTCCTACACTATGTTGCCTGATACCCAATATCAAAAACCAACTTTAAGCATAAGAAATAGAAAAACTTAGAAAATTGACATTTTGTAAATATCCTAAAAACATAGAATAAGGAACATATAAATACACAAGTAAGAAATGTTTTTAGAGAAATATTTTTTTTATTTCAAAGAGAGAACCAAATTTTAGAGGAGATCTAAAAAAAATGGATCTAAAGAAAAATTCGAATATAAAAAAACAGAGTAAAGAAAGAGAGAAAATGGAGTAAGAGAAGAATAAAGAGAAGAAGACACTAGAAATCAAAATGAAGAAAAGAAAAAATGCATTACTGTTCTAGGTATTTCTTTTGTACTACCTTTGTCTACCATTACATATCTTTAAAAGATTATGAATAATACAAGAAATGCTTCAAAGTTACGTTCAATAAGAAATGAGAGAGAAGTAGAAAGAGAAATATTTTTGAATGGTGCTTAATAAAAATGAGAAGGGAGTAGAAAAGTTATCGCATTTTCTCTTTTTTTTTATAATAATATAATATTATATTATGATGTGAATTGAAAATGAGGATCAAACTACCATGTTTAGTGTTACACGCTACCTATCTCTGCATGTCAAAAGCTAAATCAATTTCACTTACTTTTTTTTTTTTAATTTTGTTTGTTGTTCTTTTGTTTGTTCCACTCCAATTTTAATCTTTCATTTTTAATTTTGGCTTTTCTTAAATTTTCATTTAGCCCAATTCTTTTTCTTCTTTGAAAAATAGAGATGTTTATCTTTTTTTTTTATTATTATTATTATTATTATTTATGTTATTTTTATCTTAAGTTTTATTTTATTTATGTAGTTTATCTTAAATAATATATTTTGTTCTTTAGTGTTATTTTATTTTATATTATTTATTTTATTTTATTTTATTTTATTTTAAAATTAGTTCTCTTAAATTCAATTATTGATTTTCTTTTTTTAAACAACAACAATAATAATAATAATAATAATAAATTATTAAATTTTTTTAAGCATAATATAATTCTTTTATTATATTATATTTAAGTTATATTTTTATTTGTAAAATTTATTTCATTTTAATATTGACAATAAACTCTTTCTTTTTATTTTATCCCATTATTTTTTTTTGTTTCCCAAATGGTTTAATTTGGATCCAACCTGGATCGCGTACTTAGATACTGAGTCCTGAGACCTTGATTAAGCGATACTGAGCTGCTTGTCACTCAGACCAACTTCTATTGTTTATGTTTACTCTTTAAGATTGTTTTATTTTATTTATTTTATATTTATAGAATATTGATATGATTTAATTTTATATATATATGATTATCTCCCCTTATATTATAAATAGTGAATTACTCTCTTTTTATGTAATCAATAAATAAATAATAATATAAATGTATCAATTTATAATAGTAACGTATAACTTCTCTATCGTCATGTATTATAAATTAATAAAGTTTATGTGTACTAACATTACCAAGACTTTATGCAATACTAATTTATCATATATTATCTTTAATTAATTAGACAATCATCTTAATAATTAATCAAGATGTGTTCTTCCTCTAATTACTATTTTACTAATCAATCAATTTACATCAAAATTATTTTATTAATTCAAAAATTTATAATGCTAATTGTAGCGACTCTACCTTTATGTGTTATAAAATTATCAAAATTTATGTGTACTAATGTTATTTTAGATTTTATACACCATTAATATATTAATTTTTTTTTATCTAATTTCTAAAATTAATTAATTATTTTTTAATTAAAATATACCATCTATAATATTTTTATCATATTAATACAACAATTTATAGTATTATTGTCTAGTGTATCTACCATTACACGCTTTAAGTCGTTAAGACTTTTGTGTATTAACATTACCTTCAGTCTTGTGCAATATAAATTTATCAAATAAAATTTTAATCTTTTATTAAATAATTATCTTCTTTAATTAAATTAAATATATTTATTCCTTTCTTAAATAGAATTAATTTTATATTTTAATTTTTCTTAAGTCATATTTCTAATTTTGATAAATTAAATAATCAAATATTTCTTCAATTTATTATATAAATTTTTTGGCAATATCGATGTGTAGTTTACATTGACTTTGATTGTTCAATAAATCATAACAGATTTATGTATAGCTTAAGTTATCTTAAATTTTCTTTCAACATAAATCATAATTTAAATCTAAATTTAAATATTTTACTTACAATTTTTTTTTATAATTTGTAATATGGTTGTGTGATCTTCCTTCACCTTTTGTGTTGTTTCTCGTAAGATATATGTATAACTGCGTTATCTTATATCATAAACATATAATTTTAATCTCAAAATAATTTTTTTTTACTAAATTTAATTTTAATCAAATAACTTCAAAATTTTTACAATAAAACCATGTGACTTTGAGTTTCTCATTGCACCTATGGATATGTAGAAATGGAAACCAAATCCGTTGAATCAAAACAATTTTCAAAATAATTTTTTTACTTTTTTCTAAGATATAAATTAATATTTTAGTAAATAAATTTTCTTTTTTAAAATAAAAATAGCAATAATTATTCTTTATAGGTTAAATAAATATTTTCAAAATTATAATAAATTTACACAATTAATTTAAGGTAACCATTATTTAAACGGACATTATAGGGTGTTAATATTTTTCCTACACATAAATGATTCACGAATCCACTTTTGGTTTCAAAAATTAATTTGTTTAAAAAAAAATTTCTAAGGTTACCTTTAATAAACTATGGTGGTGACTCCTCTAATTTTTTAGAAAATATTTTTTATTCTTAAATGATATTTTCTTAAATACGTTTTCATTGTACTATTGTAACATCTAGTTGCGACAGGGTGACTTGTAGTGTGGTTGAAATTTTCAATTGACTTTGAAGTGTGGTTTCCTGAATTATAGAAGAGTTGAAATTTGTTCTTAACCTTTTGAATTATAGGATTTATAAAGAACTAAGTCACTCAAATTCACATTCATTCCTATTTGCTGAAT